CCCCCCCCCCCCACATCCTGGAGCCAGAGCCAGGGGAGGGGCTGGACACGGGGAGGGGCGGGGCTCTGGGGTCCCCCCCCCACGACCCCGCCCACAGCCCCTGAGACACACTTCTCTCTAAAATCCTGATCCCAGGCCCGCCCCACGCCTTCCCACAAGCTAGGCTCCCAGGCCCCGCCCCGTGTAGCCTCTACGGCCCCGCCCAAGGCCACACCCTTCGTTCTCAGGACCCCCTCCCCTCATCGTCCAGGCCCCGCCCCACTCAAGACTCCGGCCAGACCTCGCCCTGGCCCCACCGTCCGTCTTTAGGCCCCGCGATGTCCTGGCCGCGTCCTGCCACACAAGCTCCGCCCATGCCCCGCCCCCAATTCTCAGGTCCTGCTGTCGTCCAGGCCCCGCCCCGCTCCGGACACCGCCCCGCCCCACAGCTCCGCCCCAGACTCCGCCCGGGCCCCGCCCCGGGAGCGCAGGCCGAGCCGCGTGTGTACCTAGCGGCCGCGGACTTGGGCGTAGGCCTTCGGGTCGCCGCCGCCCTCCAGGCGTGGCGCCGGCCCGGACTCCGAGCGGCAGAGAGCCTCATACACAGCAGTCTCCGGACGCGGCCGCGCAGGTAAAGCTCCCGTCTCATCCCGGAGCGTGGACACCCCCGCCCCCGTCCATCCCCCAGCCTGGAGTCCCAGGGGTCCTTAGGGTCCGGAGCCTGGGGATCCCGAGGTCCGAGGTCTGGGGTCCCCTCGGGGCCCGAGCCCCGCCCGCCCAGGCCCCGCGCGGCCCCGCCACTCCACGCCCAGCGCGGGCCGCGCGCCCAGGGCTTGGCTTTTCTCTTTTCTCGTTTCCCTTTTTCAAACATAATTGAAATAAAAGGCGCCGACCGCGATGCCGGTGCGGGTGGCTGTTCCCATTAGGGCCGACAGAGAAGAGCTTTAATGTTATAATTGTCAAAGGGATTGTCACAATTAGCAAAGCGCTGAGCTTCTGACAGCAGCCTAGCCCCGCGGGGATGAGGGTGCCGGCTTGGTTCGCAGCGGTGGCCGGCGGTCGCCCCTGCATTCCAGTTTCTTATGAAAACTCTGCAGCCCAGGCTTCCTGCTTTCCAGCCCTGAGTAGCTAGGGGGGGTGGACTCCCATCACCCCGTGCTGTCGAAGCCCCTGACCCCCAAGGTGTGCGGTGGGTGTGTCCAGGGCAGGGTGGCAGTGTTCTCGGTCAGCTTTGCTGGGCACCACCCCCAGCCAGCAGTCAGCACAGCCTTACTCTTCTGGGTGGCAGTGGGAATCTCCAGGAGTAAGTCACAGAGACACCCCCCCCCCCGGTCAAGTGTGTCCGTTTGGCTGTGACATCTCCCCCGAAGTCAAAGTGTGCCCCCGGGTCCCCAGCCAGGCCACGGCCGGCGATGCTGACTGCTCCTCTCTTTTAGGACCGAAAGAGAACCTCCTGGCACGTGAGGAAACACTGTCTGTGTGGGATGGTCCCCTCCGCAGCGGCCCCGGGGAGCGGGGAAGCGTGTAGACCGCGGCACTGAGAGCAGCGTGCCGTCTGTCCGCAGGTGGTCAGGATGGGCCCCGTGGGCAAACAGGGCCCGTCCTCCCTGCCAGTCCCCATGGGAGGCTCTTGCCTACTGCTTCTCTTCTGCCTGCGGTTGGGCGCCTCTTGCCCGCAGAGCTGCCAGTGCCCTGACCATGCCGGGGCCGTGGCCGTCCATTGCAGCGGGAGGGGCCTGCAGGAGATCCCCAAGGACATCCCCACTGACGCTGTGCTCCTGAAGCTTGATGCCAACAAGATCGCCCGCATCCCCAACGGAGCCTTCCAGCACCTGAACCAGCTGAGAGAGCTGGACTTGTCTCAGAACACCATCGAGAACATCGGCCCCGCCGCCTTCTCGGGCCTGGCCGGGGGCCTGCGGCTGCTGGACCTGTCTCACAATCGCATCCGCAGGATTCCTAAGGACGCGCTGGGCAAGCTCAGCGCCAAGATACGCCTGTCCCACAACCCCCTGCACTGCGAGTGCGCCCTGCAGGAGGCCCTGTGGGAGCTGAAGCTGGACCCTGACTCGGTGGACGAGATCGCCTGCCACACCTCGGTGCAGGAGGAATACGTGGGGAAGCCACTGATCCAGGCTCTCGACTCTGGCGTCAGCTTCTGCAGCGTCCACCACAAGACCACCGATGTGGCCATGCTGCTCACCATGTTCGGCTGGTTCGCCATGGTGATCACCTACGTTGTGTACTACGTGCGCCAGAACCAGGAGGATGCCAGGAGGCACCTGGAGTACCTGAAGTCCCTGCCCAGCACTCCTGTGTCCAAGGACCCCATCAGCCCTGCGCCCTAGTGCCCAATGGCTCGAGCAGGCCGAGGCCCACCTGTCTCCCGTCACTCTTGTAGCAGATGGTGACTGAGTCCCGCCTTTGATGTTCCCCCAGGGAGGGTGACACGGCTGCTTCTGTCCAGTGTTTCGCTCTGACAGAGCACTTGCCACAGGACACCTTCAGGTCAGGCAATTCTACCATCAGACCCACTGACAGATGGGGACACGGGCTCAGAGAAATGGAAGGTCGCGGACAGGAAGTGATCCAGCTGGGATGTAAAACCAGGCCGTCCATCCTGAGACGTCCCTTCCTCTCTGGGAGCCTGCCCCACGGGGCGCCCGCCTCTGAGCCCCCAGCACTCAGAGAAGAAAGGGTGCGTGCCCATGAGTGAGGCTCCCCGAGGAGGTTGGGTGCACTTTGTTGGTTGTAGGCACAGGTCGTCCTACCCCATGGAACTGGTTTGCCTTTGCTTCCCCAGCATTTCCTGAGCACCTCTGACCACAGGGCTCTTTCCACAGCCAAGTGGTAGAGACCGGATTTTTCTCGGGAGATAAGTGGAACATGTAACCTTTGAGCAACTCTGTCAACTTTGTTTATTCTCAGAATGTTTGTTAAGAGTAACACTTGTACCAAAATTTCAGTCCAGTGAGAAGGGAAAAAAAAAAACAAAAAAACCCAAAACCAAAAAAATTAAACCATGGAGAGAAACCTGAGGAAGGTCCATAGCTCCTCAGGGGCCGCGTTAGCAGCCAGAGAAGCGTGGCCGTCCCCGATTCCCGCTCCTGCGGCTGTGCCCCACCCCAGGGAGCCTGTAGTCTTGGGTCGCTCCATGCCTTGCTTTTCTACTCGCTAAGCAGCTCCTTTCCAGTGGATGGGAGGACCGACCTCTGATGTTTCAGGGCTGTTCAACAGGTTGCTTCGTTTCCTCCAGCGACAGGGACTCTCTCTCCTTTTCAGCTTTGCTGACAGGACTCTCAGTGCTACTTTACTGCTCAGTTTTCTTACCTAATTCATGTTCAGGGTAGACTTTACCTCCACCTGTATAATGCTGATGTCTTTCCGGTTTCTTTTTCACGGTCGTTTTGATGAGTGTTTATATTTTAAACTACTGCAAATATTTTGGGGGTTTCAAGTTAGGGGCACATTGCTCATGGATCTAAGGTATAAAGGACAGATGCTTAGAAAGGGTAAGGGTCGAGGGAGCTTTGTACTCGGAAGGTGTCATGTGACTGGCAGTGAGGCCTGTCACCCGGACGGTGCCTTTTATTTTATTTTATGTCATTTACGCGTTGATGCAGTGCGTCATGATTTTTCAGTTGTGGTGCGTTAAAAAACAGCCAACAGGTGCCGCTACCCTCCCACACCCCAGCGCCGCGCCTGCGGTCACCGGGGGCACAGCACGCACAGTGTGAACCGGGGGCTCTGTGCTCTGAGCGTGGGGTGGGCCCTTCTCTGCCCACCGCCCATACCAGGGTGCAGGAGTGGGGGGCAGGGCTCAGATGAGGCTGCGAATGGTGCCGGGGTCCTCAGGAAACCAACAGCCCACCCACCCTTCCAGTGGGAACTAAAAAAGCCAAGCAACCAGCCTGGGTGCCGGTCCACTCGTGAGACAAACGCCATGGGAGCAGGTACGTGTGGCCGCCGGCTGACCAGCGGGACACGGGCTGTGTGGGTGAATTGGGTCCCCCTTCCCCATGCATCCCGGGGAGCACACAGTGGGGAGAGGGGTCCCGCCGCACAAGGAGCCGTCACCTGGCGGGTTTGCCCGATGGACGTGACCCTGAGTCCCTGGGTCAGGCGAAGAGAGCAGACCGAGGCCTGGATGGAGGTGGGGGCAGATGTCAGGGTCTTGCTGTCGCGGCTCGTGTCCCATAGGTGCCAGCCTATGGGGGGCCCTTTCCTTGCTGCCAGGGAACTCTTCATTTGCTCTTACACAGAACCAGCCCAGAGCCTGATGCCAGCCAGATGCTCTTCTGGGGGCGCACGGGGAGTAAGTGGGGCTTCTTTCCCCCCAGCCTTTGCTGGTACCCAGCGCCCAGCCAGCCTTCCCCCTGGTGTGGGCCTGCCGGGCTCCTGTTCTGCCCTGCTGGGAAGAGGAAGTGGGCCCAGGAGACCAGAGCACACCCGAGGGCCCACCCCCTCTCATCCTGGGCCCAGAGTCAGGGCGCTGCCGGGCCCCCCTGGCCTTTCTGGCCTCCTCGCCCCTCGTGGGGTCTCCCCGGAGAGCATACCTCCCTCCCAAGACCAGCAGGACCCCAGCTCCAGGACCCGGAAGCTCCTCCCTGCTCATGGCAGCTCCCAGCCCTGGTGTCTGGGAGCCCAGCCCTCCCCTTGCCCTTTCCCCCTCCTCCTTTTCTCTGTCTTCCTCTCCCCTCCCCTAAGGGACTACTGAAGGCAACGCCCTGCCTGGCCGCACCCGGTTCCTTGCTGCCCTGTGGGAGTGCAGACGCCCAGCCCCAGCCCCGTGGGCCCCTCGGGCTGACCCTCCAACTCCAGCCCAGCACCGATGGGCCGGCATGAGCCAGCATCTGCTGTCTTCTAGTTCTGTGGAGGCCGGGGTCAAGCCGGGCCCATAGAGGGGACCCGTGTTGACAGTGGTGGGGACACAGCAAAGGGGGTGCCTCAGTCGGGGGGCAGTGGGTGGCGCCTTTGTGGGACATGGGTGGCCCCTGGCTGTCATCGCAGTCCAGGTGAGAGGCCTCAAAGAGCTGCATGCGCACAGCCCCGCTTCTGCAAAGCCCCTCCTGCCTGCGGAGGCAGCACTTCACAGGGTCTGGGGGTCAGGGTGGGATGACTTTGGGGCTCCCTATGGGGCACAGGGGCGGTGTGAGTGGACCGTCCTGACAGCCACCCAGCTGGGCCTCTCATCCTTCCCATGGGGGCCAGCGGGGAGGGGAGGGGCAGTGAGGGGCTCATGGACCACTCGGGAGCCCGGTCCCCCTGCCCAGCCGCTCTGGGCCGGGGTGAGACTGCTTGCTCTCTCGGTCCCTGGCCTCACCATGGACAGTCCCCTTGGAAACCAGAGCCCCACCCCTGATCCTGACCCTAGGAGGGGACACCCTACACTCACAGCCTCCTGACACCCCACCTCCTTTCCTCTTTGGACTTTGGGGCCCCCAGACACCCACAGTTGCTCCCTTGGGTGGTCCAGCATTGGGGGATGAGCAGGCATACTGCTGAGCCCCCAGCAGAGCCATCCCGACGCACAGAGGCTGTCCCTGGTGGGCTGCACCTCAGGCCCCTCCTCGAGGTCGGCTGCAAGGCTGTAGGAGGGCCTCGAGGCTGGGGCTGGGAGGATGCCTGAAATGGTTCGTCTGCGGGAAGGGCCCCGGTGCTGGAACCAGGGACTGCCCCCCACCTTGGGGACCCGGTCCCTCAGTCCCCCTGCAGGGAGGATGGACGACAGTTTTAAATTGGACGCGGGACTGGGGTTAAACCTGGTTGTGTTTTTCTTAAAGGAAAGTTGCTCCAGGGAGGAGGTGGGGCAGAGGGGAGGGGATAAAGGCGGGGGGCTGGACAGCCCTGTGCCGGGTGCTCCCCAGCCTCCCTTGCAGCCCGTTGTCCAAGATGCGTTTGCACAAGACTTGGGTCCTGGACTAAGTTCCCTGGGGAGGAGGTGCTGCAGACTGTGGAGGAGATGGAATGTTCTGGACTCGTGGCAGCTCCCCCCGCGCCATGGCAGAAGCCTGGGGAGGTTTCTGGAGTCGTCTTTCCTGGAGGCTTGGTCCCAAACCCCATTCTACTGTCCTCCCCACCTACCATCTGCGAATCCTCAATAAACCTTTGTGCTTAAGTCCACTGTGGAGTGGGCTCTGTTAATCTGTGGCTCTGCAACCCCAACCGGGCCGGACCTGCCCTTGCTGCCTACCATGCCGTGTTGTGGAGCCGCCAGCACTGCAAACCCACGGCTAGAAGAGCTGGGCCAGGGATGGGGTGCAGGGGGTGCTGGGCCTGCCTGGAGTGGCTCGAACAGGCTCGTGATGGCTGATTGTCAGGTTTTGAGGAATTTTGTGAGTCGGTCGACACCGTGATGGCAGCTTGAGGTTGTCCATGGGAGAGTCTTTACTTCAAGGCCATTGACAGCAGCTACAATTGAGACTCCCTCTCCTGCCCCGAGAAGGCTGTTGGCCATTTGGAGGTTGTTAGCACTGCTGCTGGGGTCCCTCAGGGACACCACGTGGCACCCGGTGAGCCAGTCCTGCTTTCACGTCACCTCGCCCTTCAGGTCAGTTCTGGGGGCAGAGCAGTGGCCCCCCAGGATGTCCAGGTGCTAATCCCGGGAGCCTGTGAAGATCAGAAATGGGCCACCAGCCAAGGAATGCAGGAAGGAGTGCAGGAAGCCCCTAGAAGCTGGAAGAGGCAGGGAATGGGTTCTCTTTTGGAGCCTCTGGAAGGAAACAGACCTGCACACCTTGGTTTCAGCCCAGTGAGACCCGTTTTGGACTTCTGACCTCTAGCATTTTAAGAAAATATACTGGGGGCTTCCCTGGTGACTCAGTGGTTGAGAGTCCGCCTGCCGATGCAGGGGACGCGGGTTCGTGCCCCGGTGCGGGAAGATCCCACGTGCCGCGGAGCGGCTGGGCCCGTGAGCCATGGCCGCTGAGCCTGCGCGTCTGGAGCCTGTGCTCCGCAACGGGAGAGGCCACAACAGTGAGAGGCCCGCGTACCACAAAAATAAATAAATAAATAAATAAAAAATAAATAAATTGGTATTGTTTAGGCCACTAAGTGTGTGGTCCTTTGTTACAGCAGCTTCAGGGAACTAATAGTCTCCCCACTTTGAGAGCGGCTGCTGTGCTTGGAGCAGATGGCCGTCTGAGCTCCATGGCCACCCTGCTCGTCCTCACTGAGTCCCAGTTCCTGGGGTCAGTACGTGTTTAATGCCTTGGCCGAATGACCAAGAGTGACCTCAGGAGCTCACTTCACCTGTTGGCCTTACTCCCTTCCCTGCAAGATGGGAGCTACCCTCCCAGACGAAGGGCCATAGTGCGGGGGCCACAGCAGGGCTGGAACTCCGAGCCCGCCGG